TACTACTATATATAGTACTTTACGAGGCAGTGTATGCCGAATGGCTGACTGTGCAGCACTGGGGGGTGTTTGTGGGCGAGGGGTATCTCTTCCCAGAAGTCATTCGTAGTACAGCCAAAACAAAACAAGACTAGGCGAGCCAAGTTTGACCCAATTAACACCACCTGGGTAGCTGTTGGGTGTTTCTGGTGTGAACGCTCCTCCCGGTACGCCGCTACTAACTTGTCCAATGCCTCCACTTTACTGGAACGATTCCTCCTCTTTAATTGACCATTGCCACATCTTGTATCGACCAATGCCACCTCTTTCTTTTACCAACTTTATTGGACCAATTCCTCCTCTTTAATTGGCTATTGCCACATCTTCTATCGACCAATGCCACCTCTTTCTTTTACCAATGTCTCCACTCTTACTCGTATGCGCCACAGGCAATATACGTCGGGCTGTGTTGGATGTGATTGCTCAACCTCAGGCCACCGACGAGTTCTACTACAGCAATGTGCTCGATAGAATGGCGGATAAGACGGGCATGCTGGGTGGGGGTGTGTAGTGTGTGGGGGGTGCTGAGGAGGACTTGGATTGTTGTGTGTGTACGTATTTTTAGGTGCCAGTGTGTATGTATGTGGGTATGTAGGAGGGTGTATACCTATATATGTGTGTAATATATAGGGTTTAAGGGTCGCAAACCCCTTATATATGTGGGAGTGTGGGTGTAGAGTGAAGGTATGCGTGCATTTCTGCCTCTACCACTCATTCACTCCTCTCTGTTGAATCGTCGATCCGCAGATAGTCTCCTCCAAAAAGATCGCAATTTCACAGCGTTCCGTTGTACCATATACCCTATTGATTAACATATTATTGGTCGTCACAGGGTCTCAAAAAGATCGCAATTCAACAGTGTTCCGTTGTACCATATATTCTATTGATTAACATCTTATTGGTCGTCACAGGGTCTCTAAAAGATCGCAATTCAACAGTGTTCCGTTGTACCGTATGTTCTATTGATTAACATCTTATTGGTCGTCACAGGGTCTCAAAAAGATCGCAATTCAACAGTGTTCCGTTTTACCATATGTTCTATTGATTAACATCTTATTGGTCGTCACAGGGTCTTGGCGGATTGTCACGGTTTACATTGATGGGTTGTTTGCGGGTTGCTTCCCTGTGGCGCCTGTTGTGTTCAGGTGAGTTGCGCGGTGATTTCGGGTGGCTATAAATAGAACAACAGTACTAATAGGACAGATGACCGTCTCGTTCTCTCGTCATTCGGTTTGACGATAACATTTGAACTATAAAAAAAAAGATTCAATGTCACGCTTTTACCTACTTATTCAAATCAATATTCGGTACGAATCAATATCTCTACTTATTCGAATGAATGTTCGGTATGAATTGATATCTCTACCTATTCGAATGAATGTTCGGTATGAATCGATATCTCTACTTATTCGAATGAATGTTCGGTATAAATTGATATCTCTACTTATTCGAATGAATGTTCGGTATGAATTGATATCTCTACTTATTCGAATGAATGTTCGGTACGAATTGATATCTCTACTTATTTCTCCAACTCCTACTGTGGGCCGTTGATTGATTCCATTTAGATCTATCTAACGGGGTCTTCAGGTTTCTGTACAGCGTCAATCTTGAGGTTCATTTACCTACTAACACAATAACCGGCACATACACTTCAGTTACAGCGGAGGGATATACACAGGTCTGTATGTGAAGTAGTCTGCTCACCCGCATATAAACCCTACAAATGGGCTCTTCACGCTTAGGTATCACGCACCCATACACTATATACTGTGTACGTATATACTCATACACTATATACTGTATATGTACACACCCATACACTATATACTCTATACGTACACGCCCATACACTATAGACTGTATACGTACACACCCATACACTATAGACTGTATACGTACACACCCATACACTATATACTGTATACGTACACACCCATACACTATGAACTGTATACGTACACACCCATACACTATAGACTGTATACGTACGCACCCATACACTATAGACTGTATACGTACACACCCATACACTATAGACTGTATACGTATACACCCATACACTATAGACTATATACGTACACACACTTCAGGCTTCTCCGACTCGGTGGTGAGCTTACATACACGCACAAACATGCACTATACTGGTTCACGCCTCCAGACATTTTCGATATACGAGCGTATGAAGCTTCTTCGACTAACTAAGTTGTTAGTTTTACATACACAGTGGGGGCATGAACCCCCTATCTGTGGGATACACCCCTTTGACCTACCCTCCGTACGCCTACCTACACATCACACACCTAGACTCTGTATGCGTCTACACAGCATTCCGGTTTTATCGCTCCACAATTAAGACAACTCCCACTTCCAAGCCCATACATTTCAGAGGTTTCCCACTCACTATCGTACCAAGGCATCGCCAGATCATTTAATTTAACTATATTACTTACTTTTAACTTCACTGTAATACTTTACTTTTAACTTGACTGTGTTACTTTATTTTTAACTTAACTGTATTACTTTACTTCCACGTATACAGCGGAGGCATGAATCCCTATCTGTGGCGACCGCTCACCGGCATACGCACCTTAGACCTGCCGTCTGTACGCCTAGACATCACGCCCTTCGTAGGCATGCTCAACCACCACAGCACCAACCACCACGCAGACACACACACACAAACACACACACACATACACAACATCACGCTCAGCGTCAACATGAATACGCACGAGAAGAACACTTTCTGGCTCATGGAGGTGGCTGTGGTAATGTATCCGTGTGCGGACGACTGTGCGAGTGTGTCGGGGTCTCCGCCAATCATATCGGCGCCTGTGCCCGTTGTTGTGGAGAGTGGTGCAGTGCAACCAATGAAACCGCAGAGAACAGACGGCGACGACCAATCAGAACGCGCCGATAATCCCGCGGGGGCGACCACGGGCACGGGAATGGGCTCAGGAGATGCGAGATACAATACAGACACGGGTTCTGAAATTGACTTGTTGACAAACGAGGGCAGATTTGGCCCAAAACTTGGACGAGGACAGGCACCATCTCGTGTTGGGGCCCCGAACAGACCTGAGCGGTCCTTAAACAGAGACAGACCACTGGAGTACTACTACACCAAACTGGCTGCCGCAGCTACTGAGGGGAATGGTGACATGCTGAAAGACTACACATACAGATACGATGCGTCTGTTGTGTACAAGTATCGTATAGAGGGACATGCATGGCTTGACGGCGTGCATGAGGAGATCGACCTCGCGTACAGTAACGCCTGGGTAGATGTGCGTAACCATGGCAACCAGGCTCGGAGTGATACCGTAGGCCGTGTCAAGCACGCGACAACTAGTGCGTCGATTGCGATTAATATGAGCCAATCGGAAGAGGCGGATGGTAAGCTGGTTTGATTTCGGCGTATTCAGTTTTTTTGTGTGTGCCTTTTGTGTTCTTAAGTAAGGTGTCGTATCGCAATAACATGTGATGTGCTTTATAAATCCGAGTTGAGTGAATTCTTGTATGCATATGCTGGTGTTGAATCTGTGGTGTTGTTATGATGTATGAAGATGTCTTTATATCATCTGATATCGAGTTGAGTGAATTCTTCTATACATAAGCTGGATTGCATCTGTGATGTTGTTAGGATGTATGAAGATATCTTTATATCATCTGATATCGAGTTGAATGTATATAAGCTGGTATTGCATCTGTGGTGTTGTTAGGATGTATGACGATGTCTTCATATCATCTGATATCGAGTTGAAGGAATTCTTCTATATATAAGCTGGTATTGCATCTGTGGTGTTGTTAGGATGTATGACCATGTCTTTATATCATCTGATATCGAATTGAATGAATTCTTCTATATATAAGCTGGCATTGCATCTGTGGTGTTGTTAGGATGTATGACGATGTCTTTATATCATCTGATATCGAGTTGAATGAATTCTTATATATATAAGCTGGTATTGCATCTGTGGTGTTGATAGGATGTATGACGATGTCTTTATATCGTCTGATATCGATTTGAATGATTTCTTCTATATATAATAGGCTGGTATTGCATCTGTGGTGTTGTTAGGATATATGACGATGTCTTTATCTCATCTGATATCGAATTCCATTCTATCATGCCCCACGTGCTAACTGTTTCACAGTATGTCGTATCCTGTGAACTTGATTGTATTATATGCTTTCGATATATACGTTGTTGATCACAATAGAACGTGTAGTATTTATGTACATATATGTATGTATGGGCAAATATAACGTGTAGTTTTTATGTACAGATATGTACGTATCTTCTATGTTGTTTACGTGGTGCTACTAAAAGCGCGTGCTTTCATAGGCGAACGACTAACTAATGAGTCGCACCAGTATGCATAAACCAATTCACCTGTGAATGTACACCCAGCCAGCCGAACATACGCATCCCACCCTCAGACTCCTCCAACTATATTACCAGAACGCCACCGTGCTCCCTCACTACACACGAGTACTTGACTCTGGTCCCGACTCCTGTTGATTTATTACTTGTATTATTAATAGAAACACTGCCGGCTGAGGATATGACTGTGGTCATCAAGGCGCACGGGGCAGTCTGCGAATATCCCTTCGAGTTCAATGTCACGACCAAAATGAGCGAGGTCGGTAACAGATTTTAGAATATAT